TTATTTTCATTAATGTTTTCTTTTTAAGATTTAGTTTGCTTGAAGGGATTACAGTTTTCTGCTTATTATGATACATTTTATAGTTGCTTATATGAATTCTTAGAAATTTGATATCTATATAATTCCTTTTGACTCTAGAAGTATGTTATTGGTTATCAAATTCCCTTATTAACAAACATGATGTCTTGTGCTACTCTTCTTTATATTTTTAAATTTATATATTATTTGATGTTATGATGAAATAAGTATATAGGTGCAAATAATGTTAAGAAATTACTAATTTTACAAGTTTTGTTTTTGTTTTTAAAAATTCTGCTGTATTATCTTAAATTTGGTTTTGCACTGAGGAATTAAAGGATAGTTAAGATGTAGAAAAATTTGTAATGTAATAAATATGTAATTCGAATTGTGCAAGTCTAGATAGAAATTATATTTTGTATATACAGTCTAAGTAAAAATTATAAGCCATTATCATCCTAAATTACTTGTATGATTAACGGTATAAATTTTGAAAATTTTTAAGATAATTTTCTTATTTATAAACAATATTTGTATATCATACATATTTATGTTTTTTTATACTTTTATTGGAAATAAATGTTTTAGAAGAGATACACATTTTACCAATATGAAAAATATTAGTATTAGATATGTGAAACAACTAAAAATATCAATTACCAGTTAATTGTCCTTTGCCTGACTAATTAATTAAAATAAAAATTAGAAAGCGTTTTTTCCTTTACAAAGATTGTATCTTTTTCTTAATTTCTCATTTGGTTTCCTTTAATATATGTTGTAGTCATAGGCTTCGGTTTTTTTTTACTTGGACACATGTGCGTATTTTTATTGAGGCAATTTCTTTCTCCACCTTTATACTTTCAATTTGCACTCCCATCAATTTTTTATTTATTTTAGATTATATAATTTAAAATGTAAATTTTGTATTTTGAAATATAATTTAAAATATATTTTTACTTTGCGTCTATTCTGAATTATATAATTTAAAATACATTTTTTATTTTATATTTCAGAATATATAATTTGAAATATTAAAAATTATATTTTGAATTTGAAAATGCAAATCGAAATTATGAAAGTGCAGAAAGAAATGACCTTTTGTGTAATAATTGGTGTTGGGCTTTGATAGCATGGGTGTGTTATTTTCACCAAAGTTTTATCTATTATGCTTAGGTTCTGAAATACACCCTGTTATTTCTAACAGCAGTTTATACTTTCTTCACCTTTGTCATTACTGTTGTTGTTGTTCTATCTTTGCTGTACCTCCATTTGCAATTGCAGAGGAAGAAGAACTGAGCTTGATTTGAAAAAATGATACTTTCAAAAAGCTTATTAAAAAATTAAAGAACTATAAATTTAATTACTGCTTCCAAGATCAACCACATTGGTGTATTGTTCTTCTTGAAATTGAAGCATAGCTTTGGAAAAAAAGAAGAAAAAGCCATGGAAGACTTTGATACTGTTGAAGAAGGAAAAAAAAAGTATGTTATTTTATAAAAGGTTTGTTATGTGACATGTGAGCTTTTTCTCTGATGGTACTATCATTGCTTGTCTATTTATGCTTTTTAAAAAAATGTGTTTTCTTTTGTGAAGGAAGAAGAAAAGTAAACTTTGTAATGAAAGTATTGAAGTAGACAATTTTAATTAACTCAACTGTATTCTACTGTTTGACTTCCTTGCATTTACTTTCACATTCATTTCTACCTTACAACTCCACTTCAATTATTTCAATCACACTTCTTCCATAATTACTTCTTTTTTCCAATCTTCACATTTTCTTTCTTCAATGTTTTAAATTTACTTTGATTAAAAGTTTCTCCAATCAAAATTTACAAAAATAATAATAATATTTTTTATACAAACAAATTTTTTACCTTCATTGATATTTCCTTTTTACTTTTCTTTTTTTTGAAAAAAAATACAAAAAAATATATTTTTTATAATTATTTTACTCTTATAATATATATCAAACAAACTTATATTACTTTATCGTTATTCAAATTTATGTTCAAAGGAAATGATAATAAATGAAGTATACCACACGTGTGGTGCTTCTCCTGAAAATATATATACATAATACTTTTATTCTCATTTTTATGATCATCCATCATAAATCTACTTCTTAATATCTTTGCTGTAAAGGCAAAAGTGAAGAAACAGGAAAAGAGATGAAACTGATGGAATAGAAGCATTATCAGGAATGAAAGTGAAAAACAACAGATAAATAAAAAAAAAGTGTATACCCCAATTTTTTAATTTTTTTTGAAACAAATATAACTGCCAAAAAGAAAGTTTGTGTTAATATTATTTTAAGATTTTTAAAGTAATAAGAATTCGTATTATTTTTATAACATTAAATATATTTTTTATTCTCAAACTGTATTATTTGTTCTTAAATTAAATTACAAAATATTTTATTTCTATATTTTATGAAAAATGTGTAAAACATTTTTCTCAATAAATGGTATGTGGATTTTATACTATAGTCCAATGTGAATTGTCACATAAATAATACTCCAAACACATTTATTGAAAAAAATATTTTATATGACTTTTGTAAAATATAGAAATTAAATATTTTATAATTTAGTTTAAAAAAAATACAATTTTCTATAATAATTTGGAGACAAAATATATTCAGTCTACTTTATAATTAATATGTTATTTCTTCTATTTTCATTGTTATAAAAGTGTGTAAATAAAAGTTTTTATTTTCTTTTTAACCTTACCATTTTCTATGCATATATATGACTCTTCCTTCTGTGATAAATAAAAATTGTTTTCCCCCAAAAGACGAGTACATCAGAGTTTTGTGAATAAATGAAAGGCAATAAATATCTCTTGATGCCATTACTACTGAGAAGCAAACACTGACACATCAAAGGTGTGATGAAATTAATGAATTGAAAGTTCAAACCAAGAAAATATAAATACAATCTCATTGCATTATCAGTCCACTTGTTTATCATCACGTGATCATGTACCAGGTTTTAATTTTCTTCGCAAAACAACACAAGACAAACAAATACATAGTCATGTTAATTTGTTACTGTCTATTTATTACTTATTTATCACTATTTAATTAGATTTGTCATCTACTCTTCCTGTCACTCAGCTCATCTATGCACATGCTACATTTACATTTAGCAACTTCTATATTTACAAAAATAAAAAAAATACGATGATAGATACAAATAAATTCTCACATCGAATAAAATAAAAGATGAATATGAGTTTATATACACGTAAGATACTTCTAATAACAAGAGACTTTCGCTTAACCTAAAATAAACAATATCTTATCAATATGAAATTGCACATGTGTTGTCTCTTTTTCATTTTTTTTCTTCTGTTATTAGTTTCACAGACAAATAACAGAAGGAAAGAAAAAGAAAGAAGTGATAAAACTTATATGATAAGATGTTCATGTAAGTTATACAAGATGCATGCTTAGCCTCGTTTCTTTAACTCTTTTCCAAGTTGTGTCAAAAGCTAAGATACTCTCAGAAAGTATTGACCAAGAGATGCTGCAAACAAAAAGACTTGAGTTCTGTGCCACAAAAATCATCGTGCCGCACAGGAATTTACAACGCTCCAGATCTGCATAGATTTGAGGAATTGTTTCTTATGGAAAGAGATTCACTTCATCTTTTCTTTTATAAATATGAACTGTTTCTTTTTTCTTTTTATCTGTGATAAGATAAAATGATATGGTTTTTAACAGAATAGATAAGTAAATCTGAGGTATATATAGCGATGATATTTCATTAATATATCATTTAATTAAGTTATATGTATAACTGTGATTAAGAATCATTGAATAGAATGCATGAGGGAGTGGGAGATAGATGTTGAGACTTTTTTAGTACAACCTTTTATAAAAGCCAATTGAGTCATTTTCCACAATTTGCTTTTAAGTTATCCTTGTGGGGGCAACAGTGGAGAAAAACATGCTCGAGTTGTGTCACATGGTGATTCTAGTGCTGTGTGATAGTTTTTCTTGTCATTTTGTTCTCTTGAAACGAGTAAATATATACTCCTACTTGTGTTGACGTGCAGATATTATTCTTTTGTACATGCATCATATACATACATCCAATTATTGCCAGAATCTCTATGCGAAAGAACCATCATGCATAATTGTTGAAAGTTAAATAAATATTTAGCAAATGGTGTTCCTAAATCTACCATCTTCCTGACCCATCAATAATTTGGTGCCCCAAGAGTTGCACCGGTGGCTTATGTCTTCAGATTTGATGTTTTTTACCTTTTAATTTATTTAGACGTGGCCAATCATATCCTCCAAATTCATGTGCCGTGGAGATGTAGTGGACCTTTTTAATTATTTCCAACACATTATATTATATGTTATACATCGTAATTGGATCATATGTTGTACAAAGAATATATAATAGAATAAGTGAGGCCCCTTATATCTTTCTCAAGGGAAAACAAATAAAGAACCACACATGAATTCGACATTCAACCAATATAAACAAAAGAATTCACAGTAGATTAGACAAAAGGGTATGTGAATTTTCAATTTTTTTTTCTATTATTGTTGTTTCTACAGTTATCTTTTGAGGAGGGGAGAGGGGTATTTTGAAGTGTGAATGCATGTTTGGTGTTGATAAGACCACTTAACATAAAAATAATAATTGGATTGGTTACACAACTCACTCCACCTTATTATGCACTTTGCTTGGCATGCAATTCCATCTCAATCCGAATATTTCAATAATAATTATAAATTAAGATAAAGGTGCGGAGGTAATAAAGAAGAAATCTGTTCATGATTAAGGAAGGATTCACTTTCGTGGTGGAATAAATAAATAAATAATCTGTGACTCTCTGTCCTACTTTTTTAATACAGCAAAAATAAAAGAAAAGGAAAAATGATCATGGAACCAGTTGACCAGATTTGCATGCTGTTGTCCCAAATTGGAGTGGTTCATCTCAAGGATCTGTAATTCTGTGATTCTCTCTCTCTTTGTGTTTGTGGAGTCAGTTAATGGCACTGGTTTGAGCATGGCAGCTTCACCTGATCACACCTACAAATTTAACTACTACTTGCTAACTTTGTTTATTTACACCATAAACACACCAACCTTGTCATTCATTCAATGCGTGTTGATGTGTTGAGTCCTATTCTGATTCTAAAAACATACATTATCCAAAGCTAGAAAATTCCACTCCTTTTTAGAAAACAAGGAGATGCCAAATTCAGTTTAGGCCATTGCTCTTCATCATCACCCATCTACCATCAACAAATACCATTCCCTCTCTCTTTCAATCTATGTTGCTTGGAGTCTGCAACCACAAAATTACAAAATAGCAAAATGAAGTTCTTTCACTCAAAGGATCACACCCGGGGTTTGTGTTAAAGGGGTTGAAACCAAAGAACCTGTAATTGATCAGAGATGCGTGGGCTCAAGCTCACCGAACGTTTCAAGAGCATTCAAGTTCATGCTCTCAGTTCTACTTCATCCGAAACAAACGGTGGTAATGGCAACAAAGGCTCCGAAACAATATGTGCTGATAGCAGCAAGACCAAACCTCGCAACAACCTTAACAGGAACCGAAGCTTAATACCATCATGGTCAAAAACCAAATCCGGCACCAACAACAACTCAACCTCGGTATTTGCAAACCTGATCCCTCTTCACCTCCCTTCCACCGACACCATTGAACCACCCCTAGAACCTCACTTTAAGCCCATCAATCTTGTGGAGACCTTATCAGAGTTCTATCAGCGCATGGAGTTTTGTTCACAGTCCAACAAAGCAGTAATGTGTGTGGAACAGTGGTCTCTTTTGCGCGGTCTTGGTGAGCAGAAAATACTTAGAAGATGTCTCAGGACAGCATGCCAGAATGCTGAGGATGTCCTCTCCAAGGTTGTGTTGTCTGCATGGTTGAGGTTTGAGAGGAGGGATGATGAGCTTGCTGGCCTGTGTTCAATGGATTGTGGTGGTTATGTTCTTGAGTGTCCAAAGAAGAATTTGGAACCCGGATTTCGCCCCTGTTCAGTTAATGATCACTGCCAGTGTCAACAAGAGCTAATTCAGGAAACCTGTACTGAGGGTGTGCGTGAGTCAGATGAGGAAAGTGATATTTTGTTTTGTGTTGGGAGTGAAGAAATCAGTTGTGTCAGGTACAGGATTGCTGCTCTTTCATACCCTTTTAATGCTATGCTCTACGGTGGCTTTGCTGAGTCCAAAATGAGCAAGATTGATTTCTCGGGAAATGGGATATGTCCAAAGGGAATGAAGGCTGTGGAGTTTTACAGCAGGACCAAAAGATTGGACCTCTTCTGCCCAATGACAGTTTTGGAGCTTCTGTCCTTTGCCAATAGATTTTGTTGTGAGGAGATGAGTTCTGCCTGTGATGCCCATTTGGCTTCAATTGTTGTGAATGTTGAAGATGCATTGGTGCTTATTGAGTATGGATTGGAAGAGAGAGCCACCCTTCTTGTTGTGGCTTGCTTACAAGTGTTTCTCAGGGAGCTTCCAAATTCTCTGTATAATCCAAAGGTGGTAAGAATACTTTGCAGCTGTGAGGCACAGGAAAGGTTAGCCAATGTGGGGTGTGCCTCTTTCTTGTTGTACTACTTCCTGAGTCAAGTGGCCATGGAAGAAAGCATGATGTCTAAAACAACATTGATGTTGCTGGAGAGAATGGGAGAGTGTGCCACAGAAAAATGGCAAACAGCCCTAGCATTCCACCAATTGGGGTGTGTATTGCTTGAAAGGAAAGAATACAAAGAGGCTCAGCACTGTTTTGAGGTAGCAGTTCAGGAGGGTCATGTTTATTCATTGGCTGGGGTGGCCAGAACTAAGTACAAACAGGGTCAACCATATTCAGCCTATAAGTTAATTAGTTCTCTCATATTTGAGCATAAACCGGGTGGGTGGATGTATCAGGAGCGTGCACTATACAATATGGGAAAGGAGAAGAGTTTTGATTTAGATGTTGCAACTGAATTGGATCCTTCTCTTTCATTTCCATATAAATATAGAGCACTAGCAAAGGTGGAGGAGAAGCAGATAGAGGAAGGGATTGCAGAGCTAAATAAGTTTATTGGATTTAAACTCTCCCCTGATTGCTTAGAATTGAGAGCGTGGTTGAATGTTGCACTTAAGGATTATGACGGTGCAATGAGAGATATTCGGGCAATGCTAACCATTGAACCAAATTATGTAACTTCACATGGGAAGATCAAAGGGGAATACTTGCTCCAACTTGTAAACCGTGGAGTTCAGCAGAAGAGTCAGGCTGATTGCTGGATGCAGCTATACCAGCAATGGTCTTGTGTAGATGATATTGGTTCTTTGGCTATTATACATCAGATGCTAGAGAATGAGCCTGAGAAGAGCCTTCTAGAGTTTCGTCAGTCTCTACTCCTATTAAGGTTAGCACATGTATAACTGAACCAGAAGTATCTCTTTTTCAATTCTGTGTTTATTGTCACGTTGTCAAGGATCCTTAGGACTAGAGTCTGATCTGAATGTTTCGAAATCACTGGCATATTACATTGTGAAATGTCCATAATTTTGTTGCAATGTAGCTATTTTCAGCAGTCAAATTAGTTATATTTTGTGATGTCAAGAGAATCCTCACATGTATGAAATTCAGGTTAAACTGTCAAAAGGCTGCAATGCACAGCTTGCGGTTGGCCAGAAACCACTCTAGCTCAATGCAAGAGAGGCTAATTTATGAAGGATGGATCCTATATGACACTGGCTATCGCGAAGAAGCTTTAGCGAGGGCTGACAGATCCATTGAAATTGAGAGATCATTTGAAGCTTTTTTTCTAAAAGCATATGTGATGGCAGATACAACTCTGGATCCTGAATCTTCTTCCTACGTTATTCAGCTTCTAAAAGAAGCACTTAAATGTCCTTCAGACGGTCTTCGCAAAGGACAAGTCAGTGATCTCTTATAATAACACTATCTCTGTTCCAAGTGAAGTGAGTGTTGTGCAGTTATTTGATTATCTTGTGCAATATTTTGCAGGCATTGAATAACTTGGGGAGTATTTACGTGGATTGTGGTAAGCTTGAGCTTGCAAAAGAATGCTACAAGAGTGCACTTGCAATTAGGCACACAAGAGCTCATCAAGGTCTAGCACGCGTTTATCATCAGAAAAATCAAAGAAAAGCTGCGTATGATGAGATGACCAGTCTAATTGAGAAGGCAGAGAGCAATGCCTCAGCATATGAGAAAAGATCAGAATACTGTGACCGTGAGATGGCAAAGGTTGATCTTGATTTTGCAACTCAACTTGATCCTTTAAGAACCTATCCATATAGATACAGAGCAGCAGGTACTTTCTCTTATTGCACATTCAATTTAATTATCTGTAGTTAGATTACTACTTAAGAAGTTTGGATATTAGCATGCAAAAAAGTTAACGATTTTATAGAATCTGAATTCCTAGAGGACACTTTATCTACTGTACTTGGTTTGGTATTTCAAAGTTTTTTTATTAAAACAGAAATAATTTTATCAAAGTTTCTTCCATTTCTACCATTTTCCAACCTCATATTTTTCAAACCTCTCAAATGTATGATCAGTGATGATGGATGAGCAAAAAGAAACTGAAGCTGTAGAAGAACTCACCAAGGCCATCAAATTCAAACCTGACATGCAAATGCTTCACCTACGAGCAGCATTTTATGAGTCAATGGGAGACTTATCATCTTCTCTACAAGATTGTCAGGCTTCTCTGTGCTTAGACCCAAATCATGCAGGCACACTTGATCTATATCGAAGAATACGAAAGTTGAACTTTTAATCTTTGTGTATATGAGCATCAGAAAGATAAAATGTGGAGGTCTTGATTAGACAACTGATGGGGAAAGGAGAATTTCCAAATGACTGATATTTTACATCAGAAATCTCGGAACAATCATCTTACAACAAAGATAGAAAGACATGGATATATGGATTGTGGAATTTCAGGTGTAAATCACAGGAATTTCAGAATAGTGCATCCATTGATTTGATATGTATCCTCTGTGAGCCATATTTATAGAATTTGTCTCTCACTATTTAAGCATCCTCTTGTACAGTTACAGAGGTTCATTCCACTTGTTTTCTACAATTTTTTTTTGAAAAATAAGGAAGAAAGAACAAATAATCACCTTGCAACTAGAAATTCACATGTTCGTTTTGAAAGAAAGTGACAGATCAAATGAGAGTGTGTACTCTAAAGGTTCCATTGGAAACCATCTTCTCAGTTTGTTGTTATTCATGGTCCATAGTACTTAGTACATCAGCTACACTAAGAATACCTAATGGAAAACATGAGATAATATTCCTTTTCTTATCCTTCTGCCTCAATCTCCAATGTATATCTTATCTTAGGTGGCGTACTGATAATATTTTCCAAGGATAATACTTTACAGAAAAACAAATCCATGAAGTCTTGAATTTGTCTTCATATGACAAAAAGTGGAACTTGTTTCTTTATCATTACAAACTAACATAGTTATCTTGCACCCGGCCTTTTTCACACTAAAGAGAAGAAAAATTCATTTATACGAGCATAAAAACAAATTCATTCCTTAACTAACTACAAAATGAAATCATTCTACTGGGACAAAAGTTGTTTCTTCTGTCCATCCTAATTCAGTTAGCTTCAAAAGAACAAGAATCTAAAACTTAACTGCGAAAATAACAAGTAAAAAATGGCATCAAACTCCAAATTCAGAGTTGTTACTCAGATTATTATCCCAAAGGACATATTTTTCATTTGGAGTTATGGATTCACGTCTGAACTTAAGTCAGTGGACATAATTTCTATTTCAGCCCACCAAAGAGGAGATGCTTTTGGAGTTGCTCCATCAGGTCCTATGGTGGTGATTTCCTTCAACTTAGAAGTAACCTCCCTCATAGTTGGTCTTTTTTCTGGATCAGGATCTACACAGCTGTTAATCACTTCTTCCCATTTATCGATTTCATTTTCTTGCAAAGAGTTCAGGTTTGAATCCACCACGTCTCTCAAGGGTCGTCCCTTTATATATTCTGCTGCCCAATCTTCAAATAAGCCATTCTCCACTGCAAAGGGAATTCTTCCTGTAATCAATTCAAACAATAGAACTCCAAAGCTGTAAACATTGGCCTTGATATATTCTGGAGCTGTTTCTAAGAGCTGTGCAGCTTCAGAACCCTTTTTTGTAGAGACTATGTCAGTCCAGAAACTAAAGTCTGATAATTTAGCAGCATAATCTTCAGTCAGATATACAGAGGAAGATAGTATGCTTTTATAGGCAATGGGTGGTGTCAGCTGATGCATGTGCTCCAGACAATAAGCTATTCCCATAGCTATCCTTATTCTCATTCCCCAGTCCAGCCTTTCTGCTTCTCGAACTGCAAGACATGCATGAATGCTATCAATACAATTCTAATTGCCAGTACATAAACTCGAACAACTTTCAATGTGTCATCAACTGATCAATAAGAAATTGATGATCAAAGCCATGTTGAAAACTTCTTATACAGGATCAAGTAATGAGAAGGATACACCGTAAAAGATGCATGCTGTGTTGCAATGATTCTTAAGGCACACGCTGGTTTATATAACCATGCAAGTAAATTTTAAACAAAACAGCACTCACTGTGTAGATGCTCAAATAGAGTTCCGTTTGGAGCATACTCAAAAACCATCATCCTTGTGAATGGCTTATTCTCTTCACAATATCCAATTAGATTCACAAAATTTTTGTGGTTAACTCTTGACAACATCGCTATCTGGAATCATGAAAAGGAAGAGGTTCAGTACTAAAACCAGTCTAGTGTAGCACATTTTCTACCTTTGATGCCTGCGTACCTTCTTTCGGAATTGAGTTTCCAGATTTTTGGACCAGTTATGGGATGAAGTCACTGCAGAGGATACTACAGCTATCTCAACTCCACTGGAGAGAGTCCCCTTATAAACAGTCCCATCAGGCAGTGAACCAATAATGTTGCTGAAATACTCACAAGCTACTTCAAGTTCTGTTTTTTTCAGACTAGGAACACCTGAATCAATACATGCTCAATGAGTATGCCATTTCAAAGAACATAAACTTTATTGTTAGTACTTAACATGCATTTTTCAGTTTGAAATCTTCAGCTGAGCTAGTCAATGATGAAAGTAAAGTAAATATGAGCACCGTTTACCCGTTAAAAAGGCTTTCTGAAGCTGGCCACTCAACCCTGTGGCCCAAGGTTTTACAGTGACAACCTTGTTACTTCTGAAGCAAAGAAAAACAACGACTGACACCAAAATGAAGGAGAAGCCCCCAACTATGGACCATATAATCACAGCATGTTGGTTTGTGGTTGAACTGTTTGAAGATGAAGCAGGAGAAGGCATTGAAACCCAATTGGATTGTGGTGGTGTGGACACAACCATAGGTGGATTTGGTGGAGGTGATGTGTGTGGAGTTGGTGCTGGCACAGGTGAAGGTGAGGGTGAAAGAGAGAAAAAGAAAGTGGAGAGAGATGGAGATGGTGAGGGGGATAATTCTGGAGATGTTGGAGAATCTGAGGGGCTCTGTGATGGTGAGAAAGGCTCTGAAAGTGGTGATAGTGTGGAGGGAAAAGGTGATGGTGATGGTGAAAGAGTTTTTTTCTCATCATCAACACCATTTGCTGCTTGGAGAAGTTTCCTTATGGATGGTGTATCCCCATGTTCGCCAATGTGCCTGTCACAAGCAGGCAATTTTAAACATAATCTGATGCATCAAGTACCCAACAGTTGATGATGATGATGTTGATGATGATGACACCCAAGCATCACTATATTAGACTTGCAAGAAAAGAAAACAATCATATATAAAATCTATGCTGTATATAGAAGCTATGTAAAGCAAAAGCAAAGTTTAACATAGGACTGGTCTTGTTCCGTGGAGACACAGATCTTTCAAGTTCTTCACGCAGGTACTGGAAATAAACATGTATATTTCTATAGCCACTTAAGATATTGCAACTGCTACTAATTTTTATGAAGAATGATGATATTTTCACATTTATTAGATAAAATACACCCACCTAACAATTTAAAATAATAATGTTTTAATTTTATTTATTTATTTATTGTCTTAAAATTTTAATATTTATAATTATATTATTAAAAGAGTTTTCGAGTAGATAAATTTTTTTGTTAAGAGTGTAAAGTATTATTTTATTTTTATTAAGTTTTGATACAGTAGAAATTAAATACCCATTTTTTACTATATAAATCATCAAAGATATATTTCAGTGGAGAATATTATTTTTATCTTTCTGATTAAATGAAGAATTGTAAGAGAATAATTGATTTTTTTAGAATAACAATAAAATTTAAAATTTTTTTAGAAGATCTTAAAAGTTTAAAATTTAAAATTCGAAAAAATTAGATTTTTTTTTTCATATTCTATTTTATCACCTTTTGAAAATATTCCATGAACATATCAAACATAGGATTAAATTACTATAGCATGCATGTTCTTACAAAATAATATAAAAATGAAGAAAAAAAATGAAATTGTGAAAAGGTAAGAGTTTGCATACAAGGATACAACTTTGCCATGGGAGAAGTGATCAACCACTTCTCTATTCCAACTCCATAAACTTCCCAATGGATCTCTCTCCACTTTCTCCTTCATCTTTTGCAGTGCCAACCCTGCACACTTGTTCAGCTATATCAATGTGTTTTTCCATATAATTTCTTCAAAAGTAGAACATTTGAATTTTCTAGCTTTTAAAACTAATCCATAAAAAATAAAAAATCTAATATGTTTAATATCAAGCAATATAAAACCAAGTCTAACTCTTATTAAAACAGTTATTATAAAAAGTATTTTTTTAATTGATTATCCGTGTAAAAAACTTCTGCACGAACTATTTTTCTTAATTTATATACCAATCTTCAATCCTAATCTTAATCATGTCAGTCACCAAAAATAATTTCTTTTAACTTAAAATAGGCTAAGGCTAACAACAATTTCGGTTTTTCATGTTTTCAATTTAATCTCATATTTCCAAAAAGAAACTTCAATTTATTTATTTGAAATATTTCTGTTAAATCAAGTCAGTCATATGTCATATCACCTAAAAGTAACGTTCTAATGTGAAAAAAAATGAGGAAAAAATATATTTTGATCCTAAAAACCACTACAAGATAAATCCTTACATAGTTATGACTATATATATATATATATATATATATATACACTGTTCAGAATCTATTTGAAAATATTTAGAGCTTATAGATAGGACCTTCTAATGATTTCTCCATCTAAATATAAAAGAACAAACTTGAAAAAGAGAAAATGGAAAGGGCAAAAGTATTTAACCTAAAAACACGTATAATCCAAAACCCATTTCAGAATCTAGAAAACAACAAAATTATAAAGAAAAAAAAAACAAAAACATGCAACAACCTTAAAAAACAACATTAGAAATGATTAGAGCGATAGTGCATTCAGATTTGGAGTCACCTTCTGAGCTGACAGTGGAACACCGAACAGGTTCCATGGTGAAGGTGAATAGCAGAGACACCACCGCCACAAGCACGCGTAGTAGCTTCAACCAAGTGATGAATCTCCACCGTTCTTCCATCTGAAACAATCAATTGGTATATGATCTTCTGAGTTCACTTTGTTCCTCTGAAACTATAGAGAGAGAGAATGGAGAAGGAAATGATTGATGAAACACAGCGTCACCGATGCAAGAATGTTAACGAGATGATGAAAATGGAATGGAGGAAGCAGGGGGAGTGTTTGGAGGGAAAACAGAAAGAGTCCGATAAAACGGCTTCTTATGTTTACGAATCAGCGTTTAGCTTTTGCGGTGAACAAGTAGAATAAGACGGCACCGTGGATTTGTTCACCGTTTGGTGCATTGAGTTGGAGAAGTCGTAAACGCATCTATTCTATTTATACAAGTGTTCTCAACCTTTACCATCACCTCCTACACCAACGCACGTGTTCTCCTACGTTTATTTATTTATTTTTATAAATGCATTAATGTGACGTTTAATGTAGTAAATATTTAAAACAAATTAATTGGTAAATTCACTTTATAATGTAATTCGTTTTTTATTTGGTTTTTAAGTCATTTATTTCTAAGAATAAAAAAAA